GGGCTTAAATTAAGGCACTGAAGGCTTACAATGCAGCTATCATTTATATGGTGCTCACTAAAACCAACATACTAAGTTGATTCCTTTGATAGTCTGTTACAGAGCATTGTGACTCTAGTTAGTAATAATGTATCATATATTTCAAAATAGCTAAAATAGTATATTTTAAAGGGTCTTATTACAAATAAATAATAAGTATTTGTGCTAATGAATATGCCTATTAGCCTGATTAGATCATTTCACAATGTATTCATGAATTGAAAGATTACACTTTACCCCATAAAGGTATAAATTATTGCACATACAATATATATAACTATATGTTTCATAAATATATTTTTGTCATTAAAAATAAAATTTATAAGTAATTACAATCATGACAAAACCCTAACACAGAGACAACAAAAGAGTATTGTATTGTTTCCTACTGAAAATAACTCCGGTTTTTCAGTTTTTTAACTGAACTATTTTAAGTGTACTTTTTCCTAGAAGTGATCTATGGATGGTGAGTAAGGTCATATGGTTCAGATTGATAATTCTTAAGTTCTTTGGCCATAAAAATTATTGGGAATCTCAAAAGGCCACTGTTTACCTGTTATATTAATTTATGTTTACTTGTTTTATAAATGTAAATGGATTTTCCCTAAATACTTATGAACTCCTTTCACAGTAGTAATCATAATTCAATTCTCTGTTAACCTAAATACATTATTAGAAGAATAATATTTTAAGCAAAAAGATTATTATTAATACTGGAATATTTTGCACTTTTACCTTTATCTTAAATGTCTGGCATAATTCAAAACATTTTTTCCTATCTACTTTCACATTCAGCATGATGTGGTAGCAGACATAAGTCATGTATTGCCTGTATCTTGCACCTCTCCTGTACTTTTGTAAACATTTGAAAATTCAAAAGAGAAACACTTATGAAAATAATTTTGGCCTTCTGGAACTCATTAAAATGTCTTTAGGTTATTCAATCATCATTTAAGGATACTTTGAGAAATTCTGATATGAACAGGGATATTTTGAAAATTTTAGGTAAGAAAATCATACAAGTAAGTATATGGACTCTGCATTTTCAACTTGAATGAGACAATTTGTTTATGAATTTTACACAGTAAGCCCTGATATTCATTCACATAAAGAATATACATTATGTATAGCAATAATACCTCACTTTGTCACACATATATTTTAGTTTAATAAATTTTGGTTTAAGAGGATGTAATGCCTAGATTTGGGTTTAGTTCTAAATTCAGTCTATTTTTGTTATTGGGAAAACACATTGGCTGCTATATTCATGAAATTGTGATACTAACTTTTAAGTTTGTTATCTGTGCAATTTCTTGTTTTAATCAGGCTAGTGAAAATATGTATGTTCCTTGATGTCAACAGTTTATTGTTACAGATTAACTGAGTTGTTGTTTTTTTTTTTTAACAAATAGGGTAAAAATCCAGTAAAGCAGTTTTTAAAAAGTTGAGAACAGAACAATATGTTCTATTTCCATGTTTTAATACTATACAAATGTCAGATTCTCAAGTATGGTACATATATATTTAAAACAGTATGATTACAATAGAAACAATCTCATATCCAATTTTAAAATATCAAAACAACATGTCTTGTGTACTTTTGAAACCTGTTAAGGGACAAATGGACAAATGAATAAGTGAATCTCCATATGAAATGAACTTCATAATCCAAGTAGCCTGTCATCAATTTACTAAGCAGACATTGATGTTTTAGGTCTGGCACTGTACTCCCTATGCCTCATTTCAACCAGGATCAACATGTGGGCAGGAGAGAGAGAGATTTTCTTGTGGTAAAGCTGCCAGAGAGCAGTGAGAAAGCAGACAAGCTAGGAGTCTCACAGAAGCACCACTTAAAATGGGTGTGTTCAGCTGTGATCTGGGGAAACCAGAGCAGAGCGTGAGATGCAACCACAAGATTCTAGGTGTGTTTCAAACTCTTTGTCTTTTAAACAGAAGTGAAAGCTATACGAGAACTATGTCACCAACTATATCCACCTAGGTTTTCAGGTTTAAATAATACACAACATACACATAAGGACAAAAAATAATAGAGGAAAGAATGGAAGAAATAGTGTCAAGCCTGCGATGCTATTTATGTGAAGGTGTCCATCTTAAAAGCATCTACTGCAAAATTAGTGGTGAAAAAAAATTGGTGGTGAAAAGACATAAACATGAAATACATTATATTTGTGAGCAGATTTAATGTATTGAAAGCACTTAGAGGTCAGATGGAAAATTTTGTTGGGCTTTGAAAAATATCTTTTCTCATCTTGAAAAATAGGACCACAGAAAAGTGACTGTTGTTCTTTCTTGATTGTATAGATTTAGACTGTCCTTTTGAAAAGGCAGCAGCAGAATCCATATTACATAGGAGGACAAACTTGGCAGATCCAGAAGCTCTCAAACTTTTTAGTAACATCCATAGGACAAATATCTGCCATAGCAAGGTGGATGGTAACAACCATGTCCCTGATATCCGTATCCCTGATAACCATAGCCATAGCCACTGCCAAGTCCACCAGGCCCACAGCCCCGCAGTATGGGCCAAAGTAGTGGCCCTAGAGCATGGTGCCAGGTACGGGTGGTTGAGGTGGGGACAGAAGGTAGTTTCCTGAGTTTGAACACGACTCTCTTCACAAGATCATCTTTTATGCTTCTTCAGCAGCAGGTGTGGCAAATCACGTGCAAGGTTGCCCTCATAAAAAAACAAAACAAAACATTTTGCATGCACCACAAATAATACCAGCAGTACAAAACTCTCATAAATCTCTTATTTTATAAGGCATAGTGAAGCCTTTTTGGCCCAGATGCAACCATAGTTAGGTCAAGATTTTCACAACCAAATCAAATCATAGAAGTTATTTTTGACCTAGTTGTAAAGCTTTGGACAACTCAAATTTAAGTTCTATGATGACATTCAATGGAACAACCAAAACTATGCAAACAGGAACTGATTCAAATTTCAGACTTTTTAATACTCTCAAATTTTTTTCTGTCAGCAGCAGGGGATGAATTCACTGAATGTGGTTTTAAGGTTTACTTAACATGAGAACTAATATTTCTCAGTAGCTCTTCATGCATATAATTTTATTTTACTTTAAATACATCAGAGGCATAATATCTTTATAGGATAAAACTTTACAAACGCACAAACATACTTCATTTTTTTGCATTATGACAAATTCCATTGCAATTCATCATTTCTACCAGATAAACAATATCTACTTTCATCAATTTTGGGTTAACTCAATGACTTTCTAGCTCTCAGCCTTAAAACAAAATTGCATTAAAGATTCCACCATGCTTCCTGCTCCCGCAGAGGCACGTGACTGACTGGGGAAAGCACCTTCACCTGTCCCGTGCCAAAAACTACTGCCATGTCCAAAACAACTGGTGAGTCCATTATTATACCTTGTGGCTCTACAGTCTTTGGCTGTGCTACAGAATTAAGTGAGTACACACACACAACCACCAAAGCAGACACTAATTCGATCATCACATGTTGATCTGCTTGTGCTTTTGTTCGCTGGGGAGTTCAGGGAAACTTGCTCTTCAGAAAAATCAGAGTGCCTTGTCTGCATTTAAATGCATAGCCTCAGTGTAAAGTTTATCTTCTTTGTATTTTCAGTGCTGTAAGTCTGCAAAATGAAGATTTAATCATGTCTGTACTGTCTTGTCCAACTTGTCACCTCTCCACAAAAGTGTCTATTCAGCAAAAGAGTCTGAAATAATGATAGGAAACATTATTCTCAAACTTACTATGATTCAGATACTGTTTTAAGTCCTTGATATAGATGGACTAAATTGATTTTCAAAACTGACTCCTGAGTGAGGTATTATTACTGTCCTATTTGCAGATGAGGCAATGAAACACAGATTTTTACTGCTAACATCTCTGTAAGTGGTAAAGTTAAGATTTAAAGTGGAGGGCTTAGTCTGGAATATGTCTCTATCTACAGCCCTATACTGACTTGAATGAAGTCATCTTGCTAAGAACATGCTTTCCAGAGCAGGTTGAAGATTGCATTCACCTCAGCTTTATTGCATAAGAAATAAATGATTGGCGAATAGTAATATTTTTCACATAATTTGAGATTATATAGAGAATTTGGTGTTTTTTGGTTAAAATGTACTAGACTTCATGAAAAGAATGTCTATCAGTTTTATAGCTTAAAACAAAGAAATCCTACAGTCCCAGTTGACAAAGAACACAAATACAACAAATATCTTGATATATAAATAAAATTTGGCTTACAAAAATGCTATCTTTTAAATAAAGTTGCATCTTAAAATTTCTATATGTTCCATTTAGAACTTTTGGGTATACTTTTGGAACTTTGGAAAATATTAGATATTGTTAACACAATCATAAAATGAAACCTTTATGTAACTGAGAAAAAAGTCCAGATTTCACTGAACATTCTGTAAGGTCAAGCTATTGACTGGAGGCAGGATATTTTATGGATAGAAACAATGAAACATTTACCATGCAAAAATGAAGATAGGTCTAAGAAAACAAAACAAAACAAACAAACAAACAAAACCAGCAGCTTTGGAACACCAGCAAGGAGATGGAGAAGCTCAAACTTAAGAGAGATTATCCTGACCTGTTGGATGTCAGAGTTGCTTTTAACGGACAACGTAATGCTATCTCAGTGGGATCGAGTTTGCTTACAAAAATTAATTTAAACATTTCACGTGAATGAGACATTTATTGTCATTACACACAGGTGACACAGACGTGGCTAAACAACAGGAAATTCCTCAATGATTCCAAATCTAGGCTTTAAAACTGAGTCAAAAAATGAGTCAGTCTTGTTTGATCATTCACCAATGGCGACTTGTGTAGTGGGACTCACCCATAGTCAGGGCATATAAAAGGCCCTCTGCAGTGAGAATTGTCCAGACTCAAGTCACCTACACTCCTCCTCGACCCAACGACAACCTCAACAACCAACACCATGTGTGGCAGCTACTACGGAAACTACTATGGCGGCCGTGGCTATGGATGCTGTGGCTACAGAGGCCTGGGCTATGGTTACGGAGGCCTGGGCTGTGGCTATGGCTCTGGCTATGGCTGTGGCTTCCGTGGACTGGGCTGTGGCTATGGCTCGGGCTATGGCTGTGGCTATGGCTCCAGCTATGGCTGTGGCTATGGCTCCAGCTATGGCTGTGGCTGTGGCTCTGGCTATGGCTGTGGCTATGGCTATGGCTCTGGCTTTGGCTCCTACTACTGAGGGCACCAGTGATTCTCATCTTCTTCGTCTCTGACATCAAGATTGACCCTTCTGAACTCTACTGCCTGAGCCTCACACTTGAGGGACGGTGACCTTGACATGGAAGTCTTCTGTGTGCTGTTGTGACCTGTGTGGATCCCAATTCCCCAAATTTTCCCGCTGAAGTGGGGCAAAGTGAAACTCTCTCAGGAACTCACACTTCTGCTCTCTACAGGATGATGGGGTCAGAAAACTGCCTGCTGACTTTCATGATGGGATCTGTTTCTCTGTTGCCCTAATAAATTTCTTTAACCTATATGAGTTTTTTAGTCATTTTATTTCCAATATTACCACTTTTCATTTTGGTTTGCAAGGCTATGAAAATAATGAAATAACAGCTAAACTTAGCAAGATATTTTCCGTTACTTCTCCTAGATTGTTTCTTTGTCAATACAAAGTTCAGTTATCAGATATATGACTTTTTTAATAGACTTCTCTTTCCTCTGCTCCTTCTGAAGGAATAATGTAATGTTATACTTGGTAACTCTCAACTCTAAATTATATATTATTTATGTTTGGTAGTCACTGCCTGGCATAGTATACATAGCAAGGAAAAATAATTTCTATGTATGTGTGAAAATAAATGAATGCTTTGGGCCATATCAACCACTTTCAATCTTCCATTTTAAAGAAATTTAATTTTTCTGAAATCAGAGCTATAACCTTAGAAATAATTTTATAATCAGTTTCACCCTAATTTAATAATAAATCATAAAAGTGTTTAGACTGAATGGTAGCCTATGATTAGTTAAAAACATTGTTTCACGAGTAGGTTGAGAAGCTTCAGGGTTTCCTAAATTTGCCATTCAATAAGGGGAAATGGGACTGAGTTCATATTCTAGGGTTCACTGGGGAAGGCTCCCCTTCCAAGTTAGTCATGCTTGGCAGAATTCAGTTCCTCCCAGAAATAGGGTGAAGGGCTTATTTTCTTGCTCGCTGTTCACTGAAATCCCCAACAGGCTCTCTTCTGAACATCACTCTGAGCCCCAAATGTTGGCAGAGACTTGCCACGAAGGTTCCTGAACATGTTTATTTTCTCAAAGCCAGCAGAGGCAGGGGAAATACAGGAAACATGAGTGGTGCAATCTGATGTGAAATAATCACAGGATGCTTTATACGTTATCAGATACTCTTGCCACCTTCTAGTGCAGTAGTAATCATGGCATACTCACAGGGAAGGACTCCTGCATGTCCACTACATTAGAAGGCAGCAGTCACCAGGACATGGGAAACATCCTCCCATCACTAAGTCTGTGCTCTCCACACTCCACAATAAGAATTAAGACATTCTTTGTTTTCAGGACCCCCTTTTTTTTCCTTTTTATTGAGTTTATTGGTAAATTCTAGGTACACAGTACAATTACATTCATTACTGGGATCTTGTACCTTTACATGACAGGTCTTGCTTCTCATTTTTTCCCCTTGTCCCTGCCCTTGCTTCACCCCCTCCTCCCCCTCCCCATTTGCAAACATTTTATTTCCATTTTTTCATTTTCTCATACTTTTTTCTTTTCCCTTATTCCCTTTCCCCTACCCTTCCCACTTTCCCTACACCTTTAGCCCATTTCTTCCTATTTCACATTGTTAATTATCCCATTAGGATCTTGTGTACTGTTATAGTTTTTCACACCAAAGAAACTATTAGGTATTTGCACATGTGTGACTTCTTTATTTCACTTAGGAGCATGTCCTCAATATGTATCCATTTTTCTACGAATGAATCTAATTTCTCATTCTTTATGGCTGAGTAGTATTCTATTTTATAGAAAAACCACATCTTCTTTATCCAGTTTCCAACTGATGGGCAGGTGGGCTATTTCCAAGTTTTAGCTATTTCAAACTGTGCTGCTATAAACGTAGGTGTGCATATGTCACTTCTTTTAATTCTTTTGGAAAGATATGCAGCATTACCACTTACAGGACACTCAGATTTTCTTGTCTTGGGACATTTTGTAGAATTCTCCTGAGGAATATCGGCAGCTAGGCTTGTTTATGGGATAATTTGTTAATGATTTTCCATTACTTTCAGAAGAATTGGTGTATTGATGATATCAAAGGCTAATTTGCCATCTTGGTAATTTGTTTCCCTAAGAAAGTATCTATCTCATCTAAGTTTAATTTCCTTTTATTTTCTTAGTCCTGCATTATGATCAAGTGTTTGAGTAAATCAATCATGTTTTTATTTAAATGCCCTAGGTTCTGCTTTTCCATTGATATTTCTGTCCTGAAATGTTTAGTCCACTTAGGTGACCCTTTGAATTTTTTTAGATAAAATATTAATTTATCTTCTTTCATTCCTACTAATATTTCATAAACATATATTTCCCATAAATACTGCTTTAAATGTTTCTCATAGATTCTGTGATGAACTATTTTCATTACAATTATTTTTTTAAATCTATGCTTTCCTTTTAATGTCCTTTTTCACTCACAAATGCTTAATGAAATAATTTCTGCACTACAAGTTAAAGAATTTTTTATAAGTAAATTACTTTTTCACTTGGAAAACACATTTTATCAATATTTCTAATTTTGGAAACATTAATGTTTTCTGTGGAATATATGTCTTTGGGGTTAATCTGTGAGAACTTGAAAAGATTTATTTTTTTAAATAAAATTTGTGTGTGTGTGTGTGTGTGTGTATATATATATAATATATATATATATGTAGAAAGAGAGAGAGAGAGAGAGAGAGAGAGAGCTACCTTATTATGTTGTCTACTATGTTCTTCTACTGATACCCTCCCAAAAAAGATCATTTAGTAAAATTTGTTGGGTTTTTGTGATAGTACAAGTTGGATATGTGCAATTTTGTTGAACTTTTGCTTTTGCTGCCCTAACTTTTTTTCCTTCGACTTTAATTATTCAATTTTCAAGGATTCTCTGTCCCTTGTTTTTGTATTTTTCTTCTCTAGAAGTTCTGAGTTGTGTCAGTTGCCCCTACAAGCCATGTGTACCTTTAATCATCTACATATCTGCAGGAACCCTTTGCCTTGTCTTTGATTCTTTTCCTTTCTTTCCTTTCCTTTTCTTCCCCTCTCTTGCTTCCCTTCCCTTTCTTTTCTGTTCTCTCCCTTTTTCTGACCATCATCCTCCCTCCTTCTGTCTGTCTTTTCCTTCTCTTCTTAGTCCTTTCTCTTTCCTTTCACTTTTTAAGGACTGAGAGTGATTTAGTCTGTCTGGTAGTTTTTTGTTTTTTTAAGCGAACCTCTGAACATGTTAGACACCTATTGTTTTCCTTGCCTCTACCTTTGCTCCCACCATGACTTGCCCCTCTGTGGGGCTAGCATGAAAGAGATTGCCTGTTTTATTTGATCTTTTGATTGATATTATTGAATTAAGCCATACTTGGCTTTCCATTTCTGTTGAGCATGTCATTTCCATGTGGGTTTTAGTTTTATTTTGTTATGGATTGAATCCTATCCTCTTCCCCAAAGGTTATATTTCAATCTTTTGTCTCAGTATTTCTGGCCATTTCTCATCTAGAAGCATGGTCTTTGCAAGTGTAAAAAAAGTTGAGATGAAATCATATAAGATTAAAGTGAGGTGAAATCCAGTGAATGAGGTCCCACTATGAATGCACAAGAGCACAGAGACAAAAAGAGAAAATGGATTTGACTACAAAAATAGAAATAGAAATTCTGTTGCTACAAATCGAGAAACATGGATTCTGGCAACCACAGGAAGCTAGAATTAATTAGGTAAGATTCTTAGAGATTAGAAGGACCATGTCCCTGCTAATACATTTGTTTCAGGATCCAGAACTGAAATTTCTATATTTAAGTCATCTAATATGTGGCTCTAGCGGCCTAAGGAAATGATGAATGAAATCATTCAGGATTTCTTTTGGAAAAATAGTTTTTACAAGACAGGAGACCAGGCAACTGCCATTTTCTTCAGTTATTCTGATGTTTACTGTAGACCTGTAAATTCTCCAGTGAATGTATCCATTTTGGGAGAGGTTTTAATATCATAAAAATTAAAATTATAATTAAAATTATAAAAAAGTGACTAATAAGGGCCGGGGATTTAGCTCAGTGGTTCGGTGGCCTGCCTTGCAAGCGCAAGGACCTGAGTTCAATCCCTGGTACCAAAAAAAAAAAAAAAAGTGACTATTATCACCTAGAGTCACTTTTGTTAATTTCTATACTTGAAGGACATCTTCCAATTCAGTAGTATTATAAAATTTATTGGTATAACATTTTTCATATCCCTTTATAATCACTGATGCCTGTACAGTTTAGTAACATAAATTATTTTATTCTTCATAATGCCAATTTATATGTCCATTTTACGTTCTTAATTAATCTAGCTTGAATTTTTCAAATTTTGGGGTCTGTTCAAAGTAATAGCTTTGGCTTTCATTAATTCATTGTTTGTCCATTTCTCATACATTCCATACTTACTCCTTTAATTATCACTTTCTTTGAAGTCAGTTTGCTTTCTATTCTAGCACTTTAAACCTAGGTGTCACCATTTTGCCAGGGTTGGTTTTAATTTTGTAATCCTTCTACCTCAGCTGCTCAAGTGGCTAGGAATGCAGGTAGGTGACCATGTGCCCTTCATAGCTTTTTAAATTTTAAGAGAAAACTTAAATAATTGAACAAAAAAAATGTGTGACTATCCTAACACAGCTGAATTTCGCTGTAATTATAGTTTCATTGTACTCCATGTATTTTGTAAATGTATTTTTTTCATTTTTATTTCAAGTTATTTTCCTATTTGGCATGGAAGTTTTTCTTTGATTCCTATGTACCCACGAGCTCAAAAATTTCCTTTCCTATGTGTATGTGCAGTGCAGAGAAATGGTACCTGAACAGTGAACCCATTCCAGAAAGTACTCTACCATCAAGAAGCAGTGAATCAGCTGTGGCAACACTTTCTATCCTCATAGAAAGCAAAATCATGAATCAATTTTACACCAAGCAACATGAATCGAATGGATCAAAATAACAGTGCAAGGATCCTGAATTAAAACTGTCACTGAGATCACAGCCTACAAAAATGATCCAGGCCTGCATGCTGTAGATGAACAAAGTTTACCATTAAAAAATGATTTGTACAGAACCTCAGGGACCTATAGGTAAATAACAAAAGTTCAGTTATATCGTTGTTGTCTCAGAAGTTGAGAAAAATATAACACATAACCTGCAGAAAGAACATCAATTTAAAGGGAGTAGATTTCTCATTTGAAACTGTGGAGTAATAAACCATGGAGTGTGTGTGTGTGTGTGTGTGTGTGTGTGTGTGTGTATGTGTGTGTGTTCAAAGAAAAGAACATTCATAGATTTTTCTTCTAGCAAAGATATTGTTCAGGAATGAAGTGGAAATAAAAAAATATTGTGACAAAAATCTGAAATAATGTCATTAGCAGATACATGCCTAAAGATTATTAAAAAAAGAATTCTTTAAAGAGAAAAGAAATGCTAACGGTGGAACTATTGACACATGAGGAAACAATAGAATAAACAGGTACATAATAAATACCATATACTCTTCACTTCCTTATGAATCATAGAGATAGTATTTGGTAATTAAAACAAACACTATGCCAAATAACACACTCATATAACTGCATGTGTACAGCAACTTAAATTGGAAGTAAAAATTTCCAGCTTCATTTTTAATTGTAAATATTCTTACCACCTCAGACTTACGAGGTGCACCTAAATACCTGTGTAGAAAATGATGAAAAACACTGAAAAATGCTATACCTAACGATGTAATGCTAAGAAATATCTAAGAAAAATACAATAAGTCAAGAGAAATGAACAGAGGAATAAGAATAGAAGTAAAAATAGAAAACAAATAATAAATATACTAACAGATTAACAGTCATTATTTCAAAGGGTGTCTACGTATGTTAATCAAAAGAAGTTAATACAGAGTGGCAGAGTGGATTTATTCATAGCAATCCTGCTGACCTTATAATTTGGCCCATGCATTCTTAAATGTTTCTTTGTCTTTGTCTCCTCCAGACTTAAAAGCTATGCAGCTACCAAGATGACAATACCAGGCCCCTACTGAAGGCCTTTAGACAGACCCTCTGTAGAGTAACTCTAACTGCTGATCACAACTATGATCCTTTTCATCTGGAAATAGTCAGAGCTGTCTTTGCTCTTTCCCCCTCACAGAAGTAAGGGGTGCTTCTTCAGAGGGGGAATATTGCAGATAGATATATTAATTAGATATCTTGTAGGCAGTTAGACAGGGCCGCCCTCAAGGAGCCAATACAGCAAGGAGCAAACGTGGAGGACAATCAGGACACATTCACTGTGGCCAGAATTTTAAAAGGAGAGAAACTATTATATCCTTGTGCTTCCTCTAGGGATAAATAGTAGTAATTGATATTCTAAATAGGTTTCAATCACCTGGATGGGGATCCAAGGTCTTAACTCAGCCTTTCCAGAAAATATTCCTGACCCCACCCTTAGTGAAGATCCTTGTACACTTGCTCAGTGACTTGTTCCCCCATTTGACCCCATTTAATCAGTATTACCTGGGTGACTATACCTGTAATCTTGTTGGCTGATCATGGTTTTGCCCCACCTCATGCCCACCTTGTAATTGCCCATTGGGTCTTACAGTTTTCTGCCACTTTGTACTCTCCTCATCAAGTGGCTTTGCTGTATTAAACATCTTTTAAAAGTGGGGTGAATAGGCAACCCACTTTCCAGTCCCTCTTCTGTCTCTCTTAGACAGAAGCTTTCTTTCCCTCAATGAATTCCTCCTATTCTTAAAAAAATAAAACAAGAAAGAAAGAAACAAAGAAAGAAAGAAAGAAAGAAAGAAAGAAAGAAAGAAAGAAAGAAAGAAAAGCTCCGCAAGACCCATCTATGTTCTGCTTACAAGAAACTCACTCCCTGTTCGCTGACATAGGAAGACCAAAAGCGAGGAAGTGGAAAAATGATGTCAAACACTCATCAATCAAAGAAGGATGGAGTGATTATATTAATGCCTGAAACAGAGGCTTCAAAACAAGTAAACTGCTGGTGTAAATATTATATATGATATGAGGGTCAGTCCACTAGGGCGGTGCAATGACAGTAAATGTGTGTAGAAAAAACAGACTCAAACACCATGGCAAAAATTGATAGAAGTTAAAATGGAAAGAGGCAAATTTGGCGATATTAATTATACATGGATAGTCAGACTAATAAAACTAAAACTAACATACAAAAATGGACAAAAATATACATTATCTGAACAATGTTATCAACAACCATATACAGAATATTTTACCCCAAGTGCAGAACATACATATGATGCATGCAATGGAATATTATATATATGAATGTTTGCTCATTTTTGAAAAGTAGTCTTTCTGTGATAATTTTCTTATTGCCTCTTTCTTCTTTCATCACTGTGCATATATCATCCTACTGCTTTTGACAAAAAAGCTGCTTGTTAATCTTACTAGAAATTTGCCTTGTGTGAGACAAATACCTTTTATTTACTGGTTTCCAATTTCCCTTTTTGTCTTTGATTTTGGACACCTTATGATGTTTCTGGATAGAGATCTCTTTGAAGTTATCTTCCTTGAAATTTTTGAATGTGTACATTAATGTTGGGATTGAAGTTAGCATGTTAAGCAATTATGTTTTGCAGCTCCTTTCTATCTTTGTCCCTTTTATTACTCTAAAAGTGAACACATCAATATAGTTAGGGCTGCTGTACTGTTCTTTGGACTCTGCTCATTCTTTTTCCTCCTCTCTGTGTTCTTCAAGCTAAATAAACAGTATTGAACTATGTTCATTTGATTTCATATTCAATGAATTATGCATATTTCTATTCATTCATATTTACTCTTGAAGCTAGCCATATACATTCTCATTTTAGATACAGTAGCCCTCCTCCCTAATGCAGATTCCCAAAACCACAGATAGTATTGAATCTTATACATAATAGTTTTTCTACATGCGTATGATAAAAATTTATAAATTAGACACAAGAGTTTAACAGTAGTAATAAAATAATACACTAGAAATAACAATATGCTGAGGCAAAAGTGATATAAATAGATGTTGCACTTTGCACTTTCACTTAAGCCTTTTCCAGTTTTTCTGCAGTGTGTGTGCATTGCCTGCATGATTACTTTGGGGCCTTTATCAAGTAAAGTGAGAGTTTGGTTTGCTGAGAGATTTCAACATGCTATTCGGAATGGCACAGAATTAAGACATGTGAGTAGTTTTTTCATTCAGTTAACACGCTCAGAATGTGGGTGATCCTATAAAGGACCCCACACAGAGTGAAACCTCAGGGAAAAGGGGATATTTTATTGCCACCTCCAAGTCTATAACGTACATTTAGTACTTTCAAATAATTTTTCAGCATTTAATTGTTATTCTTTATTTGATTGGAAATTTATTATCCTGCCTTCCTTTACTTCTAGAAGAGTAATTGCCTTTACTACTTTCAGCATACTCACAAGGACTTTTTTGAAGAATTTGTCTGAAATTCTTACGACTAGACCCTCTTTCAGTCCACCTTTTATTGCCTGAGGATGTTTTACACAAGTATGAGTCACAAATTGTTGTCTTTGGCATAGCTCATATCTTTTTGGAAAATTTCACATTTTAGATTGTTTTCTGTAGCAATGCTAGCTACTTCTCTCGACCCTCATCCATTACCAGAGTTTGTTCTCTTTTTCTTTTTTAAGTGCTTAGTAAGTTGGCTGGACTGAATGTTACTAAATTTTATG